CTCAATGTCCTTGACCCTCTGCAGCAAGTGCTTCAGGTCCTCCTCAATTTCAGCAAGCAGGGTTGTGTCATCTGCATAACGCAGATAGTTGATGAATCTTCCACCAATCCTGATGCCACACCTCTCCTCATACAGCGTCATGGTAGATGGAGAAAAAAACCTGAAATTGTTAATGTCTTCCTCTGACTTGGATCCACAATCAACACACTTTGTAGCAGCAGTCAGGAGACATATGGCACGGGGAAAGTCTGCAATCAGAGACCTCTCCAAATACTAAAGAGTTGTTACTGTTCTGTGCCATCGACTCACCTGTAACTCATAGCAACCCTACTTACAACAGCTCTGAAGCCTGTCCTGTCCTGAGCCAGTCTCACTGACTCCGACACACCTACCCCCATTGCCCTATTTACTGTATCAATCCACCTGATCCACGGACTTCCTCTCCTGCACTGTCCCTCCACCCTTCCAAGCATGATGTCCTTTCCAAGGACTGGTCCCTCCTGGCAACATGACCAAGTATGTGAGATGGAGCATCAAAATCCTAGCCTCCAAGGAGAAACCCGGTTTCACTCTCTCCAAGACAGACCTATTTGCTTTCTTGGTGGTCCATGGTATGTTCAAGACTCTTGTCCTGCAGCACAACTCAAAGTCATCAATTCTTCTTCTGTCATCCTTAGTCATTGTCCAGCTCTCTGATGCATAACATATAATTGTAAAGACCATGGCCTGGATCAGGCGCACCTTAGTCTCTAGACTGACATCATTGCTTCTCAGTACTCTAGAGAGGGCCCTGAAAGTTGATTTTCCCAGTGCAATTCGTCTTTTGGTTTCCTGATTGTTGGTGCCAAGAGTGTTTACTGTGGAGCAGAGCAAGCTATAACTGTTAACAACTTCAATCTCCTCTCCATCTATCATGATGCTGGCAATTGGCCCAGTGGTGAGAATCTTTGTCTTCTTGATGTTGAGCTTCAATCCATATTGAAGACTACAGTCCTTGACCTTCAGCAGTAAAGCACTTCAGGTCTTTCTCAGTTTCAGCAAACAAGGTGTGTCATCTACATAACATATGTTGTTGATGAATCTTCCTCCAATCCTGATACCGCATTCCTCCTGGACCAGGAGGCTGTTGTGCAAACAGAGCAAGAAAACACTGCATTGTTTAAAATTAAGAAGGGTATGTCTCTAAGCTGTATTCTCTCTCCATACCTATTCAATCTGTTGTTGTTATGTGCCATTGAGTTGCTTGCAACTCATAGCAACCCTATGTAAAACAGCTCTCAACCGTGCTCTATCCTGAACCAACCTTATTGCCTCTGACACACCTACCCCATTACCCTAGGCACTGAATCAATCCATCTCATCAAGGGTCTTTCTCTCTTGCACTGTTCCTCCACCCTCCCAAGTATGATGTCCCTCTCCAAGGACTGGTCACTCTTTGCAACATGCTCAAAGTATGTCAGACGAAGCTTCAGCATCCTTGCCTCTAAGGAGCAACCTTGTTTCACCCCCTCTAGGATGAACTTGTTTTTCCTCCTAGCAGTCCATGGTCCTAGCATCACACCTCAAAGGCATCAATTCTCCTTCTATCATCCCTAGTCATTGTCTATCTTTCTCACATATAGCAAGTAATTGCGAAGACTATGGCCTAGGTCAGGTTCACCTTAGTCTCCAGACTGACATCGTTGCTCTTCAGTACTCTGGAGAGGTCCCTGACAGCAGAATTTCCCAATGCAATTCATCATTTGATTTCCAGGATAATGATACCAAAAGTGTTGATTGTTGAGCCAAACAAACTGTATCTATTAACATTAAAGTTGTTGTTGCTGTTGTTAAGTGCTGTTGAGTCGTAGGTAACTCATAGTGACCCTATGAAGGAAAGTCCTCAATGCTTGTGTGTCTCCCATCCCCTCTCCAGGTTCATAGGGTTTCTAGAGGCAAGCTATTACGGAAGTGGATGCCACTCCTGCTTCCAAGCTTGTTTTAATTGGGGAGCTCCACCAAACACTGCCCACCATGGGTAACCAATTAACACATTTGACACATCAGTGTCACAGTGTTCAGCTTCACAGCAACCACAAGTTACTGCTGTACAGCAATTGCACACAGCAGGGCCGTACGACCTTTGGCTTGGTATACTGAGCAAATTATTCAAGAAGCCGGACTCCGTGAGGAGGAATGGGCACCAGGATCAGAGGGAGACTCATCAATAATCTGAGTTATGCAGATTACATAACTTTGCTTGCTGAAAGTGAAGAGGACTTGAAGCACTGTTTGCAGAAGATCAAGGAATGCAGTCTTCAGTATGGATTGCGTCTCAATGTCAAGAAAACAAAGATTCTTACCACTGGACCAATAGGCAGAATCATGATGGATGTGGAAGAGATTGAAACTGTCAACAACTTCTTCTTGCTTGGATCCACAATTAACAGCCTTGGCAATTGGACAATTAAAACAGACATTGGGGGGGAAGAAGAACGAACTAGGGGTGAGGGTGGAGAAAACAGTGCAACAATGAATGAATGGAAACCCAAAATCTCTGTAAATGTTTATGAAAATTAATAAAATATAATTATAGAAAAAACAAACAAACAATTAACAGCCTTGGAACCAGCAGTCAGAAAACAAGGAGACACATTGCCCTGGGAAAGTCTGCAGTTAGAGACCTCTCCTAATTATTGAGAAGTAATGATGTCAGCTTGAGGACTAAGGTGTGTCTGATTCAGGCCATGGTCTTTCCATCACATCTGAGTCAGGACAGGCTCACAGGGCAGCCGTAAGTCAGGACGGGCTCAGAGCAGTGAGCCTGGCTTTTTGGTTTACTGTTTCATTTTAAGACTTCACAGTTGTTGCTGTTTTTTGTTGTGGGTTTTGGGGTTTGTTTGGGTTTTGGGGGTGTGTGTGTGTGTCACCATCGAGTTAGATCCGACTGGCACAGAAGGAGATTGCCCCTCCATCTCCAGCATAGCATTTGGTGGATTCTAACTGCAAGCCTTCAGGATTGCAGCACAGCCTCTTGCCAATAGGCCACCAGAGGTCCCTTACAGTATTTTTTTATTGATTAAAGATCCTCTTCAAAGGGCAGTGGCTTTAGGGATTCGTCTGCTTCCATGGCTTAGAAGAAAGCCTAAGGTCCACAGAATTTGGAATTGTGCATATACTTTTTTTTTAATCAAGGTTCTTCTACAGGTTCTTGGATGGAATTGTCTGGTAATGGGAGTTGGGCACTATTTCACAGTTCTTCTAGTCTCATTGGCAAAAGAGGCCAGCGGGTTTTTCATTGGTTGGTTTTGGGAAGACAATTGCCAGCCCTTTCTTCCTCATTTAGAAGTTCTGCTGGAGTCTGCCCAGCATCACAGCAACGTGCCATCCTCCAAAGACAGACAGGGGGTGGCTGCATATAAAGTGCCTTCTAAGGGAATCGAACCCAGGTCTCCCACGTGGAAGGACAGAATTCTGCCACTGCCCCACCGCTGTCTGCTCTGACCTGCCCTCAGTGTAACAGATGCAGCCTCAACAGTTCCACCATCTCGGCCACAGTCATTCTCAACCCCTGCCTGGTCTCTGCTCCCCACCCGACATCCAGACCATCACCGTGTCCTGCTGATGGCCTTTGCTGCAGGTGATAGACTGACAGCCACATCCCACAGGACCCAGGCCTGGGTGAATTTTGATTTGGACCCAAAAGGACGAGATGACACATGGACTAGGAGCATGGAGGCGTCCACTCGCTGGCGTTCCGGCTTGGGTGTGGTTCATGCCCTCTTGTTGCTGTTGGAACCTGCTGCTTGCTGACCTTCCATGGACCTTCTAAGGTTGTCAATGCCAAGGGCAGGGATGGCTCGCCTTTCTTCCTTGGGGAGCTGATGGGTTGTGGGGGGTGTTAGCAGTTCAGTCCCCTGCGGACAGGTCACCAGGCTGCCTGTCACACACACGCTTTGGGGTTGTTTTCTGACTCAGTAACTCTCTGGGGCAGAGAACTACATAATAGCATGTCCGCAGTTGTAGACTGTCGTGTAAGCCGACCCGACATGCCCTGAGGAAGGGCTGGCAGGATTGCAGTGCGGCTGAGTGCTGTGTCCCAGGAAGGCGAGGGTTACAGACACACTTGACCTTAAACCTTGCAGATCCCCCTCATCTGTTGTTATTGGGGTGATTCTCAGGTGTTCCACATATCCCCTTAAAAACTCCAAGATATTAATCACGCCCAAGGCCCGAACAGTTTGGCCAGCCAGCTCACATGTAGGTCAAACCCATAGTGTTCAGTGCTCTAAAGAGACATGGATTTTCCACTGCCTGGGAGGGAGGTCAGCACCCTTTACCCCTATGTTGTCCCAAGAGTCAACTTTAAAAATTCAGGTTTTTGTCCTTTTCTAAGGCTTCCCAGAGCTCCAGTGTCACAGGGGTTAAAGCATCTGGCTGCTAAGCAAAAGGTGGGCAGTTCAAACCCACCAGGTGCGCCACAGGAGAAGGATGAGGCAGGTGTTCCTGGGGAGATGACAGCCCGGGAAGCCCCGGCGTCTTCTGCTCTGTCCTGCAGGGTCTCCACGTGACAGCAGCAGCTCTGCTGTGTGTACAGCTGAGCTAACGAAGAGGCCTGCAGTTCAAGCCCACCAGCGTCTCCGAGGGAGAGGGAAGGGCGGCCTCTTATCATTACAGCCCTGGCACCCCGTGGAGGGTCACCGAGGATCAGAACCAACACGAAGCCAGTGCTTCTGGTTTTACGGGCGCAGAAAAATGGAAGCAAAACCAACAGCGTCCAAATCTACAGACCTAGGGCAGCTCTGGTGGCCTAGTGGCAAGACGCTGCACTGCAATCCCAGAGGCACACGGTTCAAATCCACCAGATGCTCTGCTGGAGGAGGGGGAAATCTCCTCCTGTACCTGTCAGATCTGATTTGACGGTACACGTAAAAATAATATAATTTTTTTAAAAATCTACAGACCTGTAGCTGCGTTCCAGTTGTTGGTCTCATAGTTGTAAGCAAAACCTCTCTACATACCTGTGGCTGCGTTCCACTTGTTGGTCTCATAGTTGTAAGCAAAAACTTTCTGGTTTATCACGAAAAGCAGGACCGTGCCGGCAAAATGGGCTGACGTAACCACTGGCGAGCTCACCTGGAAATAATGGTCAGAAAAACGGCCATCAGGAGCCTCTTCTGACAGCAGGTCAAAGGGCGGTACTGTCAGTCACAAGTTGAGGAAGCACCCCTACTGGCAGTGGTTAAAGCACTCAGCCACTCACAGGAAGGTGGGCCAGTCAGACCAACCAACCAGCCACCCAGCGGGAGAAGGATGTGGCAGTCGGCTTCTGTCATGGAAAGTCCCCCCGGGCAGCTCTGCCTTGTCCTTCAAGGTCACTGTCCTCCACTGAACTGTGTCCCGTTTGTATGTGTCATCTCCCATACTTCAGGCATGCTGCGAGGAGAAGCTGTTCCTTGAAGAGGTGGAGGGCGGGTGCAGGAGAGGAAGACCCTCAATCAGGTAGCTTCACACAGTGACTGGGGCGGTGGGCGTGAGTGTGTCAGAGACTCTGAGGACAGGGAAGGGCTCGGGTCTGTTCTTCATAGGAGTTGTATTTGACTTGACAGCAGCTAACAGCAACACACCACCAACAGTGCAGGAAGATGAGCCCCCAGGTTAGAAGGCTCTCAAAGCAGAGCGGTTGTGACCATGGACTTGAGTAGATCAGTAATGGTCAATGGCACAGGACTGGTAACACTTTATTGTGCTAGTGACACTTTATTGTGAGTAGGGGCCAGCTTGAGGCAGTGAACGAGGGTAGGAAGGGCCTGGAGGCCAAGATGTCAGGAAGGGGTTCAGAGAGGAGGACAGGGATGAGGCAGATGGATAGGGAGGAGCAGAGGGCGCCCACACTGTGGGCCTGGACTGAGAAGCGGCCGGAGGAGGCTGTGCACGTGTGGTGAGCACTCAGGGATACCGGTCTTTCCCTGAAGCCAGTCTCCCCCTCTTAGCAGTAGGGGCGAGGGAAGTCACCTCCTCTTGTTATTGTATGAATTATGCCCCTCCAGAAGTAGATGTAATGAGCCCTGGTGGTTCACTGATTAAGCAAGCTATTTGGAAGGTGGGCAGTTCGAATCCACCTCAGGGAGAGGAAGCGAGAGTTGGTTTCTGTTGAGTCTAAATAAAACCCAAGCCTCCTCTCAGCAACTCGGAGTCACTGCAGAGGCCAAGGGACAACTAAGAGTCCTGTCGGGTCCGTAGTGAGGCAGAGTGCCACAGCTTTCTCCGCAGGAGCAGGTGGCAGTGACCGACCAACCTCTCAGCAGCAGAGGGCTACACCCACCGCGACACCTTGGATTCCACCCAGACTCACAGCCTAGGCAACACGACGAGTCAGGGCTAACCCACGCCTCGGGGTCCCCGTGAATCAGAATCAACTTGACAGCCACAGATTTACTGTATCTGTTGACAGCCTGGCCCCTGTACCTGGAAATCTAATTGTGTTTGGAAACAAGATCTTAGCACATTATAGCAATTCTATAATACCACTATTTTATATGCTATATAATTAATAACTATATTATCTAGATATAATATAAAGGCACTTGACTGTGTGGATCACAACAATTTGTGGCTAACCTTGAGGAGAAGGGGAATCCCAGAGCATCTGATTGGGTCCATGCAGAACCAACACTTGGACCAGGAGGCAGTCATCAGAACAGAACAGGGAAAGCGTGGTTCAAAATCAGGAAAGGAGTGCGTCGGGGATGTGTTCTGTCTCCTTACCTTTCCAGCCTCTATGTGGAACAGGTCATTTGGGAGGCTGGGCTTAATGAGGAGGAGTGTGGCATCAGGATTGGAGGAAGGCTCAACAACCTGTGATATGCAGATGACACAACCTTGCTTGCTGAAACTGAGGAGGACCTGAAGCACTTGCTGCAGAAGGTAAAGGACTGTAGTCTTCAATATGGATTGAAGTTCAACATCAAGACGACAAAGATTCTCACCACTGGGCCAATTGGCAGCACCATGATAGATGGAGAAGAGATGAGGTTAACAATTACCGTTTGCTCAGCTCCACAGTCAATACTCTTAGCACCAGCCGTCAGGAAATCAAAAGATGAATTTCGTTTGGGAAGTCTGCTGTCAGGGAACTCTACAGAGTGCTGAGGAGAAATGATGTTAGTCTGGAGACATGTTATGCATCAGACAGCTGGACCAAGACAGAAGAAGAACGGACGTCTTTGAGTTGTGGTGCTGGAGAGGAGTATTGAACATACAATGGACCACCAGGAGAACAAATAAGTCTGTTTTGGAGAGGGTGAAACCAAGTTTCTCCTTGGAGGACAGGATTTTGAAACTTTGCCTCACATACTCTGAGCATCTGGCCAGGAGACCAGTCCTTAGAGAAGGACATCATGCTCAAAATGGTGGAGGGACAGTGCAGGAGAGGAAGACCCTGGGTGAGATGGATTGATACAGTAACTGGGGCAATGGGGGAAGGTGTGTTGGAGTCAGTGAGACTGGCTCAGGACAGGGCAGGCTTCAGAGCTGTTGTACACAGGCTCACTATGGGTTGCAGGCAACTTGACGGCACATAATGACAACAACATCAGCTATATCAATACACAGGAAAGCTGAGTTCAATATGTTGAAAGTCTTTGTTGTATGACCGAGGCTACATTCAGGAAGAACAGGTTCTGCCCAAATCCAAGCACTCTGGGTCATGCTGTTGTCAAATGCCCTAAGTGGCCTTTAGTTGTGGTGACCCCACATGACAGACTAGAGAGGCCCTGGAGTACTGCTAGGCTGTGCTTTTTATGGGACATGTTGCACTAGGAAAATCAGTTGAAAAATAAAACAAACAAACAAACCAAAAAATCAACAACCCTCTTTAAAGTGTTAAAAGGCAAAAATGCCACTTTGAGGGCCAAGGTGCATCTGAGCCAAGCCAGAGTATGTTGACTCATCCACACGCACGCAAGTCCAGCCAGTGAATAAGGAAGAATGAAGACCTGGTACATTTTGACGTTGGTGAGGAATACGGAGTAGACCACGCGTGACTTAGTCTCATAGTCCGCTAAGAAGACAAAGGTTCCTACCATCACACTGATGGGCAACATCACGATATGTAAAAGGCAAGACTGGAACTCTCAGTGATTTCATCTTACTTGGATCCACAGTCAGCACCCTTGGCACCAACAGACAGTAGATCAGGAGATGTATTACACACAGGAAGTCCATTGTCAAGGACTTCTCCCAAATATTGAGGAACAATCTGTCAGTATGAAGACTAAGGTGCCCTTGATTTGGACCACGGTCTTTTCAGTCACTTGCTATGCATCTGAGAGCTGTGCAACAAATCAGGATAACAGAAGAGTCGATGCCTTTGATTCTGTGATGTTGGAGAAGAGTACGACTAAATTGTCTATGGACTGCCAGAGAACAAGCAGATATGTCTTCGAAAAGATGCAGCCAGAGTGCTCCTTGGAGGCAAGGAGGGTAGACTTGGTCTCACAAACTTTGGGCATGTTGCTAGGAAAGGCTGTTCCTTGAAAAGGACGTCGGGTTTGGAAAGGTCAGCAAAAGAGGGTAAGATTCCCAAAGAGATGGATTGACACAGTGACTGCAGCAGTGGGTTCTAGTGTGTCAGTGATAAGGAGAATGGCTCAGGACAAGACAGGGGTCAGGTCTGCTATTCATAGTGTTCCTGTGACTCGAACATGACTCAGTGGCTCTTACCAACAACAGGAACCAAGATGCTGCTTTGGGCTAACAAAGTGCTCTAAGCATCTTTAAGAGACCCAGCTAAAAATCAACACCTCGATTAAGGTATTCTCAAACAATGCCTATAACTGAATATTACTGATCGTTATTGTTGTTTGCTACTAGTTTCCCCTGAGTCAAAAACAGCTCATAGAGACCCTGTAAAAAAAACAGATCAAAGCCTTGTGCTAGCCTGCAATGTGCTTCAGATGAAGTAAATGACTACCTGCATCGAATAAGGGATGGTAAACGGGATGATACTGCTGTCAAAGTTGTCCGTGGTAAAAAACACGTGTCCTCTGAAAGAAACAAAAAAAAAAACAAACACAAACCAAGGTAAATTAGCACCACCTCACACAAGAGCAGCAACAAAACCACAATGAAGACACTTTAAACATGTTCCATTCAAAAGAAGAAAATTTTAAAAAATTAAAAAATAAAAAAAACCCACATGTTCCATTCAATCAGCATTCCTTTATCACTAGGAACCTCATAGGTAGGTGCTCGCTCATTGTTTTGCTGTTGTTGCTGTAAAACGTTTCTATATAGAACTCACTGCCACCAAGTGAGAGCCAACTCACAGCTGACCCTCCAGGTTCCCAAGGCTGTAAATCACACAGGAGGAGACTGCTCACCTTACTCCCTCCAAGTGACTGTTGGATTTGAACTACCCAAGAGCCCTGGATGTGAGTTAGCAGTTCAACTCCCTTTGAACTATCCTGCCAGAGCTCACGCATGTGGTCTCTCTCGCTCTCTCCCTCTCTCCCTCTCCCTCCCTCCCCCTCTCTCTCTTTCTCTATCCCACCCTTTCTCTTTCTCCCTCTCCCTCCCTCCCTCCCTCCTTCCCTCCCTCTTTTCTGTGTGAGTACATATAAAGAGGAGTTGTCAAGAAAATTATTTGTGCAGTTGTAGATGCTGGCACGTCCCAGATCTGTGGTTCAGGCATCAGGCTGGAGGCTTCTAACACATAGAACAGAGGAAGCTGACAAATCCAAGGCAGGCAGGCAGGCAGGACGGCAGGCTGCAGGCTCATAGGTTGTATTCAGCAGTTACGTATCATCAAGTTGGAACTGAAGCATAGCTGACCCTCCAGTGCGCTTTCAGAGTCTGTAAGCCACGAGGCAGGAGACTGTCCATCTCCCATGGAGCAGCTGCTGGACTCACACTGTGTACTTTTGGTTGTCAGTGCAGCTCCTTATCCCTGTGTGAACCACCGAGTTGGAACTGCCCCATAATTGACGCTGTGGCAGGTTTTCAGAGGCAATTAATCGCATGAGGGGAGATTTCCCATTCTTCTCCAGTGCCTTACCACTAGGCCACCAGATATACAGATCCTCCTCCCCCAAAACGCAAGTCACACACCTCAGGAAACTTCCACAACTGCTGATTGGCCAATCACATCAGATCACGGTAAAGGAGATGACTGTTGTTGTTATGTGCCGTTGAGTTGCCTGCAACTCAATGGCGACCTTATGTACAACAGCCCTATAACCTACTCCATCCTGTGTCAATCTTATTGCCTCTGACACACCTACCCCCATTACCCAAGTCACTGAATCAATCCACCTCATAGAGGGTTTTCCTCTCTTGTGCTGTCCCTCCACCCTCCCAAGCATGACGCCCCTCTCCAAGGACTGGTCCCTCCTTGCAAAATGTCCAAAGTATGTCTAACAAAGCTTCAGAATCATTGCCTCCAAGGAGTGTTCTGGTTTCACCTTCTCTGGGGTGAACCTGTTTGTTCTAGCAATCCATAGTATATTCAATACTCTTCCCCAGCACCACAACTCAAAGGCATCAATTCTCCTTCTAGCATCTCTAGCCCAGCAAACCACTGCAATCGTGACCCACATCAAGCTAACGCACATGGGGGTAAATGTTCAATGTTTTGTTCTCTTGTGCACAGGTCCCCCCAGGCTGGAGCACCTAACCCCACCACTAATTCCTATGTGATTTGTCTCGGTTACTTCACTGCTGTCTTTCTCTTTTATCCTCTGACCCCAGGCCAGCAGCCAGCAATGCAGGGCAGAAAGGGCTTCACGGATGTTTGCGAGATCAACGAAGAAGGGCAATTCAAAGCTGTTCATTAAAAAAATAAGTAACAATATGTAACAATGGCAACTTACCCTAAATACACAGCCAAGTTTTCCTTGCAAGGATGTTTAATCAAGCTTGTGGTTTTAGAATCAAAATACAGCACTTTCTAGAGAGAGAATCACAAAGTATCAGTAATAATCATAATCATAATAAACACCTGACAAAAAGGTTCCTATTGTGCAAAGTTAGACATTCAAAGGGTGAGGTAGGACTATGGTGGGTAGGACTATGGTGGGTGAGTAATGAACACAGTGCCTGGTCTGAGTTTTGTTCTTGGAGGAAGCTGAGTCAAGTATAAACAAGAATTCCATGTTTGTTTGTTTGTTTGAACAATGATGAGATACAAATGGATGAAGAGATGGAGGAAGGATACTCTCACGAGCAAAGATATATATGAAGACCCCCAAATGGGAGATTAAATGGTATGTCCAAGTCACTAAAAAACAACAACAACAAAACCCCAAGAAGTCTCAGTATTATTTTTGCCACATCCCGTAAATCTGTAATTGTTGATTGCCATCACGTCAGCATAACTCATAGCGACCCTATGAACAAAAGGCCTGAAGCGTTTTTATAACTATCATCACTTATCAAATTTCATAGTTTCCAAAGGTATGTTGTTTAGGAAGTGGATGCCAACACCTGCTTAAAAAAAATAAAACTATAATTAGGTCAAATTTGCTGAAACTGAAGAGGACCTGAAGCACCTGCTGCAGAGTGTCAAGGACTGCAGCCTACAATATGGATTGAGGCTCAATGTCAAGAAGACAAAGATTCTCAGCACTGGACCAATTGGCAGCATCACAATGGATGGTGAAGAGATTGAGATTGTACACAGCTTTAGTTTGCTTGGCTCTGTAGTCAACAGTCTTGGTACCAGCAGCCAGGAAATTAAAAGGCTCATTGCCATGGGAAAGTCTGCTGTTAGGGACCTCTCCAAAGTACTGAAGAGCAATGGTGTCTCTCTGGAGACCAAGGCACGTCTGATACAGGCCATGGTCTTCACAATCATTTGTTATGCATCAGAGAGTTGGACAATGACCAAAGAGGATAGAAGGAGAATTGATGCCTTTGAGCTGTGGTGCTGGAGAAGAGTATTGAGAATACCATGGACTGCTAGGAAAACAAACAGATTTGTCCTGGAAAGGGTTAAACTGGGTGACTCCTTGGAGGCAAGGATTCTGAGGCTCCGTCTAACATACTTTGGACATGTTGTGAGGAGAGACCGGTCCTTGGAGAGGGACATCATGCTTGGGAGGGTAGAGGGACAGCGCAGGAGAGGAAGGCCCTCTATGAGGTGGATTTATTCAGTGACTGGGATAATTGGGATGGGAGTGTCAGAGACAGTGTGATTGGCACAGGACAGAGCGGAGTTTAGGGCTGTTGTACATAGGGTCGCTATGAGTCGCAAGCGACTCGACGGCACATAACAACAACAACAACAATATGTTAAAAACAAAAATAAAAGTCTCACAGAGTAATTCGTTACATCTCATCATCCCTTATTCATACCACTGTTTATTTAGAGATTCTCAGGTATTTGAGATTGAACTCCCCTGAAGATGGTTTGCAAAAGCAGCTACCCCTTCTGAAGTAACAATGTCAAAAAGAAACTCTTTAAATCTATGAAATTGTTTCCTTTTGCATTTGAACCACAGTTCATGGTGATACAGTCTTTCCAGTGGCACTACATTTTATCAACAAATGCTTTTGGAAATCTACCAAATAGTGGGAAAGACAGCACAAAATAAAAATACAGAAGGGCTGAATTTTACACCCGGTCTTGCAATTTAGCTCAAGCCGCCGAGCGGCTTCCAGCCAGCTTCTAAATATATCATCAAGTGACATAGGAAAGACATATTTCCTGGGGAGGATTTTGTGAGGATTAAATAAAATATGGTTAAAAATCCTGACACAGCACTGGCCCGAAAATTAGTAGCAGATTTTAGTTCCAACCTTCTCATCATATATTAAAAAATCCAACAACACAACAAATAAAAAGGCAAAGAAATGATGGCTAAGTCCACACTACATACCCCAGGAATTTTCTTGTCCATAGCAAACACTTTTCCTGTCCTCACTGTGTGGCTACTAGAGGCAAGCCGTAAGAGAAATCATCTGTCAGTTCTCACTGATTATTCAAGGTGAATGGCATGGGTCTGCCTTATCAGGTCCCCTGTAGGTGAAGTCGAGGGTACTCTTTCTGGAGTTTGTGGAGTTAGAGGGCCCCTTGAAAAATCCGATGACTACATGCCCTCTCCTGTTGTTGGGTGCTGTCAGGTTGATTCCAACTCACAGCCACCCCACGAGACAGAGCAGTTGCCCTACAGCCTTTCCCAGGCAGTACTCTTTATGTGAGCAGATCATTGCCAGAGTGTCCTCTCACACAGGCTGAGGGTGGGTTCAAACCATCAACCTTTTGGTCAGCAGCCACGTGCTTAACCATTGTACCACCAGGACCTCTTGTTGCATTATTGTCATGGACTGTCAAGTTGGAATGGACCCATAGCTGACCCTCCAGCTGGTTTTCAAAGGCAGTAAACCCAACGGAAGGAGATTGCCCATCTTTCTCCTATTGAGCAGCTGGTGGATTTGAACCACATGCCTTTGGGTTGGCAGTGCAACTCCTTACCACTAAGCTACCACAGCTCCCGTTTTGGTCTCTTAGAAATAGATATAACAAAAATGTAGATAAAATTCTCAAGAGTACTTAAAAGCTAATTCAGTGTCCAGATTAGAAACTCCTGCCTAGACTTACTTTTTATATAGATTTGAGATATAGATTTTTTATAGATATATTCCCCACCCAGAAGGGGGCTGGGGCTGAAAGAACAATAGTAATTTGTAAATGGAATTCTGAATCCAAATCATTTGGAAGCCAGTTGTCCTCTCTTCAAAGTCACATTGACTCTGTCATGACAACAACTTTGGTCCATCGAGTTTTCAGTGACTGATTCAGAAGATCAGACTTTCTTCCATGTGCCTTGGGTCGACTTAAACCTTCAAACTCTGGTTGCTGATGTTAACCACCCAGGGAAGACAGAATAATAGCAAATGTCCCTGGTTCCCAAGTCCAGAACTAGCAAGATGATCCTGAGGTAGACAATGGCCAGACTGCGAGTAAAGTCCCCAGGGGACAATGCCTACAGTAGTTTTTTGATTGCTCAACTAGAGCAACAGGACTTGTAGTCCAGGGATACCATGAAATATCCTAAATCCACAGGATAGCACTCACAACAGAGAAAGATTCAGCCTCCAACGTTGGTTGTGCTGCTGCTGAGAGATTTGAGGCTTCATCATGGAGGAAAGGCAACCAGCCTGGCTGAGGAGCCTGGATTTCCTCCCATGAGCCAGGGGAGGGGAATAACTGACAGATGAATTCGTCTTTAAATAAAACCTCTTGATCTCTGGCTGGGAAATGAATAGAAGCGCAAAGCCTAGGATAGCTATGGTGACTTAAAGGGACTGGCTTGGGAGTCTGGGTTTTGAAGTAGAAATGGGAAGGCTTGGAGATGGGCCAGCAGCCTTGGGTGCACATCGGGAGTAAAAGTACGTGGTTCGAATCTACCAGCCATTCCCACTCCACGGTAGAAAGATGACGCACTCTTGCTTCTAGAAAGATTTACAGCTTGGAAACCCAACTGACCACTTCTACTCTGTACTTGAGGGTCCCTAAGAACTGTCTGGGGACTCCGCCTCGTCCTCCCGGCAGCACCCCACACTGGGAGACCAGCCCCCACCTGCACAAGTTAAACGCTCTGCCCAGAGGCCAGAGCTGCAAGGTCATCGCCACCAGCATCAGCACCAGCATCTCGCTGCCTTCACCCAAGGCCATCAACAGACGTGGGCCTGCGTCCCAGACTGCGCATGCGCTGGGCCCCCTTCCTGCGCATTATCAGAATCACGCTCCCAGAAACGACGTTTGCAACAAAAACCGTTCACCTTCTAGTGCCCTGGCGTGTATAACCTACACTCTCGTGACCCAAAGAGGTGAAGGTGACAAGAGACTGCGAAGCTGGCCCGCCGCGGGGCGTGGAGCTCGCGTCCCCCTCCTCCAGGCCCCGCCTCCCCGCTTCCCTCCAGGCCCCGCCTCCCCGCCTCCCTCCAGGACCCGCCTCCCAGCTCTCGTCCCGGCCCTGTCCCCCGCGCGCCTCCAGGCCCCGCCTCCCCGCACTCCTCATAGCCACGCCCCCTCTGGAGCTCCAGGCCCCGCCCCCTGTGGCGCTCCATGCTCTGTCCCCCGCGCGCCTCCAGGCCCCGCCTCCCCGCACTCCTCATGGCCACGCCCCCTCTGGAGCTCCAGGCCCCGCCCCCTGTGGCGCTCCAGGCCCTGTCCCCCGCGCGCCTCCAGGCCCCGCCTCCCCGCACTCCTCATGGCCACGCCCCCTCTGGCGCTCCAGGCCCCGCCCCCTGTGGCGCTCCAGGCCCTGTCCCCCGCTCTCCCCCAGGCCCCCCCTCCCCGCGCGGCCACAGTGAACGGCCCGGGCGTCACGTTCACCGCGGCTCGCCCGACGCGGGTTAGTGACGCAATTTCCGCGCGTCGCCAGGATGGCCGGGCCATGGCGGCGGGCGCAGGCTGCGTGCGACTGTGGGGCGCAGCGCGGTGCTGGGCACTCCGACGGCCACTTCTGGCCTCCGCGTTGGGACGGGCCCCAACTGCCTCCGAAGCCTGGCTGTCCAGGGGCCGGCGAGCCTGCGACGCCTCTCTCCCCTGGCCGCTGCAGGGGAGAAGCCCCGGGGCCCCTGGTCAGTGGCGGGGACTGTGGGAGGGCAGTAACCGCGGCGGCGGCAGCGGCTCGTTCTCGGGCAGTGAGGACGCCTCCGAGGGCGGCGCGGAGGACGGGGCCGCGGGCCCGGGGGGCAGCGCGGGCGGCGGAGAGGGTCCCGTGATAACGGCGCTCACGCCCATGACCATCCCGGACGTGTTCCCGCACCTGCCGCTCATCGCCGTCACCCGCAATCCCGTGTTCCCGCGCTTTATCAAGATTATCGAGGTAATGAGAGCCCCTCGGCCTCCGTGTCCCCGCTTCTGCCGGCAGCGGGTCGAACCGAGGGTCCACTTAGCGCCTCGGCTCAGCGCAGCTTTCTCAGACACGGAGCTTGTCGAAGCCTCAAGTTCCAATTCCTGACGTCTCACTCTCTAGGATCCCGTAGGGTCACTGTCAGAGGCAAGGAGTCGAGCCCAGTAGATGTAGGACTCTATGGAATCGCACTGGGAATCCCAGCCCTAGAAATCGGTGCGGGCAGAGGTCCGAGGGTTATTGCAACCCGCTTGCATTGCTGGGGAATCTTAGTAAATGTTTCGCAACATCTCCCCCAGGCGGTCAGTCTTGTGGCTGGTAAGCTTTGTGAGAGGACTTGATTCCCTAAAAACTCTTTGAGGCTTCAGACCTTGGAACTACTGGCACCCTGTCTTTTATGCTCTCTGTTTTATCTCAAAAAATGGGGGGGGGGGAACACAACACCTCTTTATTTGAATACTTGGGCCAGACATTGTCCTGCAGATCAGTGACACTACTGGTGAACAGGATGGGCCACATTCATTCTAAAAGGAAGAGAGTAGCGATAAACAAGACTACTAAGTGCATGGCAACCTGTAAGAAGGCAGCACTGAGGAGTAACAGCAGTATTTGGTACAGGAGTCTTCAGAAGGCGGATGAGATGGAAGCAGTTTAAACATTCAACAAAGTGTGCTTTGTGTGTGTGTGTGAGAGAGAGAGAGATTTGAGTGCAAGTTCGCAGAGCAAATTGCCTTTCTGTCCAGCCATCCCTACACATTTTGTTTTACCTGAACAACAACACCCTCAACGGAATCACACTTCTCCCACTTCCTCCCTGTAATTCTCATTTCCACTGACCCCTTCTCTCCTGCCCCTTCCTGCCTTCAGAGCTTTGTCCTTGAACAACTACACCACTTTGGACTTTCTGTTATTTTTTTTTTTTTCCTAAAGAGAAAATTCCTCCGTGGTGTTACTGGTCACCTTGTAAGCCTGAATAGTGTTTGAAAGTTGAGCCATCTAGGTAGCCTTGCTCAGGTTCAAAGTATGATTTGTTGTGTGCCATCAAGTCAGAACCAACCCAAAGCTGACCCTCCAGCCCGTTTCAGAAAGCAGTGAATAGCCTGCGAGGAAAAGCAGCCGTCTTTCTCTGGAGGGGCAGCTGATGAATTCAAACCGCTTACCTTAAAGTGTGTCGGAGGCAAGGAGATTGACTCAAGCTAGGCCAGGGGTCAGAGCTGTGTTCATAGGGTCTCTGTGAGTCGTAGTCAACTCTCGCCTCTCCCTAAAAGGGGACAGGAAGGAGGAGGGACAAGAAGAAAGTCAAAGTCCCCCGCAAGACTTCTGCTCTCGGGGCCTGTCAGCCTCTGTTCAGCGACCCAAGGTTGCAAGGTGGTGGGGTGCTTGGGACCCCTGGCTCCTAACAACAACCGCCTTAAAGTGTGATGAACCTTAAATCTGGGGAGAATCAACAAAGTATTCTTAAACTTTGGCCACATAACAAGGAGAAAACAAGTCAAACAGTCTCAGTGCATAGGGCAAGAGACAGTAAGCAAATAAGATCCTATCAAACTAAGAGCAAGCTTGGGACGATGTAATAGGAAGTAACCCATGGCAGGATGAGAGCTTTCAGGGTCAGAAGGACCTGCCCAACCCCCTCCTCCTCCTGGTCTTGGTTTTTTTCCCCTTTTAAACTGACGTGGAAACTAGGCTGGGGTGGAATAAAATTATCTGTTAAAGACATCAACAAGGTCACTAGTGAGTCAGCTCTGCCCTTGTGCTCCTGCACTGCCCAGAGAGTCCTGAAGCGGAGGCCGGGCAGCTCGGTTAGAGAAGGCATTAACAGGCTTCCAGGTCCTCCTCTGGCCCCGGATTTTAGTCAGAGCCTGGCCTCCTACCTTTTGTTTCCCTCCCCTTGCCAAAGGGGTGCATCATCCTGGTGGTGCTGCATGACCAGGATGATGCGTGGCACGGGCAGAGCAAGCTCCTTCCTAGTCCATCTCCTAGTTCCAGAAATCCATGTAGTATATTGTCCTCGAATAGAGGGCATATCAGGTGTTAAACTGATAAAAACACATACTACACTTGAGCTTAGCCAAAAGGCCGAGAAGCGATGGTCAGCCACCTTTGAAAACTTCTTAAAACATGCTTCTCCCCGATAACTGCTATTCTGATCACATTGCCTTCAAGTCGGAACTGACTCAGCTGACCATCCAGTGAGTTTTCAGAGGCTGTACATAGCACTGGAGGAGATTGCACGTCTTTATCCTGCTAGTGGATTTGAACTGTCTACCTTTGGGTTGGCAGCACAACTCCTTTCCCACTAGGCCACGCGGAGGCGCCGTGAATTGTTGGCAGTGGGTCCTGAAAGAAACCAGCTGTCAGACTCCCCATTTTCAACCCACAAGATGCTTGCCCAGAGATGCCGAGGTCCCACCACCTGTGCGAGACGGGGAAAGTGAGATGAGCTGGCAGCCTGAGCGCTCCATGACTGGTGAAGGAGGGACAGTGTGGTTAGGGAGCAGCTCCCACTGAAAACGAAGGAAGTCAGTGCCTGTGGGTGGGCCTTCCCCAAATTAGGCACGGTTAGCACTGCCTTTTCAACATTAATAAGAGCAGGAGGGTTTGGATTTTCAAGCAATCACGTTTTGCCAAAAATGTTCTTGAAAATGGATGTTGAGTTCACTTCTCTTTTTTTTTTAAAATTGAACAATATCTTTTTTTTTGGGGGGGCATGTTTTAATGAGGAACCAGGCCATGGAGAAAGACATCAGGCCGGGAAAGGTAGAGTCAGTGAAAGAGGAAAACCCTCAATAAGATGATAGATACAGTGACTACCACTGTACTTCAGTGGACTTGAGCATGACAGAGATCAAGAAGATGGGCAGGAGAGGGCAAGGTTCAGATATGTTGTTCATATGGGCACCCTGAGTCGTAATAGACTCATAGTGGAATCTAACAACAACAATTTTATAAACACCTAGAATCTGTTGATAGATCAATTGGGCAGCATCATAATATTTAAGGAGATAAACATA